CTCTGGAGCAGTGAGATACAAGTTCAAACCTTGGTGTGGAAGTAACCTAAACTGGCCTTTGAGGCTGCTTTACTTCTAGACTATTCAGGAAGACTTGGCATTGATAATAGCATTCTCCATGGAGTCCAGCCTAGCTACCTGCATCCTCCAATGGGGGATTGGGACAAAAACCTCATCTTGTCCTTAAGTATGATGGCCTTTTGTTTTTTAAAAACATTTTATTAACTTTATTAGGGTGACACTGATAAATAAAATTATACAGGTTTCTATAATACCTATAATTGTACATTTCTATAATACATCATCTTATATTGCATTGTGTGTTTACCACCCAGGGTCAGTTCTTCCATCACCATATAGTTGACCCCCTTTAACCCTCTTCTACGATCCCCTCCCCCTTTATCCTCTGGTAACCACTAAACTGTTGTCTGTGTCTATGAGTTTTGCTCATTTGTTTGTCTTGTTCGTTTGTTGCTTTCAGTTTTATATCCCACATATGAGTGAAATCGTATGGGCTTGCCTTTTCTGTCTGACTTATTTCATTTAGCGTGATCATCTCAAGATCCTTTTCTTTCCTTTGAGACCTCATGACTAGAGTTGGTTGGTCAACAGCAGAATACAAATCTTTCTGTGTCTCTGACCAAATATTTTTGCTAGCCACCAATATCCTCAATACCTAATAGAGAAAATACAATTCTGACATTCATCAGATAAGTAGACTTTACATAGCATCAAAGGTCAATAGTCCAGATTCCTCAACGGGGTGTTCAAGCTCTTTACAGTCTGGTTCTCTGCCCTGTGCTCTTCAGCACAGTGGCCACTAAATCCACAGGGCTGTTTGCTCATTTGAAATGTGCTAGGTCAAACCGTGATGTGCTGTAAAGGTAACATACACTGGGCTTTGGAGACTTGATATTTTTTAAAAGGTAAAATATCTAATTATTTATATAAATTGATATAATGTATATGCATCACAAGTTTTCTAATAGAGCATCCTGAGTGCATCATGCTGCCTGGACAACCATGCTTTACAAATGTCCTTCCTCTCCAATTTCTACTCCACAATACCTTGTAGAACAAATATAATTCTGACATTCAGTAGATTAATAGCTAAAAGGCATAATTCACATACCAAGCCATTCCTGTTCCACAAGATAGTTGACTATGCAAATCCTATGCCTCCTGCTTACATTTAGTAGTAGACTTATGACACTATACTGCCATCATTATTTATATGCATATCTGCTTATGTGCTGGCCAACTCCTTGAGGCCTGGGAGCATGACATCTATATTTTAACACAGTACATTGTTTCAATGAATTAAATCACATAGTAACCTTCCATATCCTGTTATTTTGAATTAATTAATATTAGTACCTATTATGTCAACATTACATCAAAACAAAATGATATTGAAAAGTTACTGATAAAGTAATTGAAATAATGCATTGTTAAAAAAATTTAGAAACTTAAACTGAATATGGTTATTAATAATTATATAATTATCATGAACTATAGTTCTGAGGACTTCTGAACTAAACAATTCGCTTATATAAAACATTTTTTTTTGAAATATTAGTCGGACAGTGCTTTGCAGATTGCTTTGGAAAAGGAAGAAAAGAGAGCTCAGTGAGGAAAGCATTCAACAATCCAGGCACAACAGATATAGCCCAAAAATAGCATGGTGAAGTGGAGAAGATAAGAATTCTAAATGGCAGTTTTAGATTTTTCAGTTCAAGGCAAATCAGAGGGCTCTCTTATGAGATTTGTCTGCTGGTTTTAAAGGTGACTTACCCATTTTCTTTCTGTCAGTCTACCTGTTTCTATTCTGACCTGATATTCTGATAGAGGATGTGCTTTGGGATTGTTCTCTATGTCTCTCATCCTCATTACGAAGACTGGCCTGGTAATGATTGTGATGCCTGTAAACCTTTTCCCAAGCTGAGGACAAAGAATCTAGTTTGAATGAAGAAAAATAGGTCTGTCTATGTGGATGTTGCAAAATATTCCACTTCTAGTGATCTTTAATAACATTATTGGGCCACACATATTGTAATTTATATCCAAACGTTTGTGAAGTTCAAGAGCTCTGAAGTGAGACTACCTGTGTTCAATCCCAGGTTGACCCTACTCTATGGGTGACTTTGGACAAGTTGTTTAACCTCTAGGTTTTTCTCATCTCTAAAACTGGCATGATAACAATAGTTTATGAAAATTGAATGAGATAGCATATAGAGAGTACTTTACACAGCTTCACACACATATTACGTTCTCAATAACTGTTAGCAATTATTAACTTGCAGACTTTTTTGCTTTGTTTTTATGTAGTGATTAGCGACAAGAATCATTCATGCAAAGTGTTATTTCAGAGGCTAAATCCCAGTGCTAAAAAGTAAAAAAATCTGCCTTATGCCAAATAAAATAGTTTTCTGTTTCATTTTTAAAAATGATATTCATTAAATGTGAAATAATGTTCAAACTTTATTTCCTCAAAACTAAAACAGGACAGAGCACAAATTAATTGAAGTAAAAAATCAGTTTTTAAATGGTATTTTCCAAGTCTTATTTTTGATCAGAAGCCAACTGATAATGCACAATCTGAAAAATAAATGGACTTCGGATAAAGAACAAATTTGAGGCTTTAAAAGTAGAAGCAATCTCATTTTCTGAAAGTTTGATGCAGAATGTGATTATGTAGGTTACTACAAAGACAGGCAAATTCATGGAGGACACCAGAAAGTCATTAACCATGTTCTTATCCCCATGGTGCAGATTATAGTAAAATGGTGAGAACACGTTTTACTATCTATGCTGTATAAGATAAGCATGAGTGAGGCTATAAGACTGTAAGACAGATTCTGTGCACACAGTTAGCAAAGCTAAAGAAGAAAGTTAAAGTCAAAATAACTAGAATAATTCATGTTGTACTTACTGTGTGCTTATGGATTGCTTGACAACCCCTCCCCAAAACTTAACATCACCTGATCTATAATATAATCAGTCCACCATCCTATATTAGCCTTTTTCACCATCCTGATTGCATTGTAGGAATGCAGGCTACTACCTTCTCTTGAAGAAAGGAAGAATTTATTTGGACATTTGCTTTCCCACTGATCTATATTGTTACAAAGGTAAATTAGTGATAAAGAGATAATATGGTTCAGACTGCTTTCAGTAGAGATGTGATTTTTTTTAACCAAAGTGAAAGCTTTATAATTTTACCATTAGAAAGGTGATGAAAGGATTTTAGTATTATATAATGAAGAAAATAGAACTTCTGAAAAACAAGGAAATAAAGCTATAAATATTAGCAAAGTAAAAATATTTATACTGGAAAAAACCCCGACAAATATTTTCATAGTTTTATGTTATTTCAAATCTGTATTTCAGGAATAAGAGAAAGACAATTGTTTTGAATATGGCAAAGAAGATAAAATAACAAAATAATTTAATTCAAGATTATAACTGAATCTGCATAGAAGCAAATATATAGACAATGGCAAGATTGGAAGAAAAAGTGGAGTGGTTAAAACCATGGCCCTGCATCATAAAATAGGTGGACCCCACTTCCATTTTCCTCTCCCAACATGCTGTTTATATCTACCTTTCCCCACTCTCCTCTCAGTCATAATCAAGCATAGATTATATAAATGATAAGCATCTACGTCAAACCTGTCGGTTTTATATATGAGTTTTCGAGCAATTTCTACAACATATGTGGCCATGGATATGTAGACAACTGGTTTTGGTCTCTAAAATTAATGGCTGCATGTTTGTACGCCCCACATTATTTTCTCACTTAAGAATCTTGTATGAGTTTCCCAGAATCTCCCTTCCTCACGTCGTCTTCCTGCACCTGTCTTTTCCCAAACTTCTGCACAGGAAATGGACTTTTCAACTCCCATAGGTGTCCTGTCTTCTTCTCTCTCTTTCTGGTCAAATTCTCGTTCTTTCTCTTTAATGCTTTGTTTCTATTTGCTTACATTGAATAGAAAGTATAATTTCTTCCCGTACTCCCTGCCCAATCATACAGAAAACATTCTCATCAAACGTAGGATCCTTTGGGGTTGAGCCCCAGGCATTGGAATCTTAGGGTCTTGACCTGTGCTCCCTTACTTCTAGAGTTCTAGAAGAACAATTCACTCTGACCCAGTTTTCAAACAAACAATTTAATAAACATCTGTTAGGTGATTATTTTGTGCCAGGCTCTCTGCTAGCTCTGGGCAAATAGAGATGAGTAAGCCAAAGGCCATTTGCTCCAGTGGCCTCCTGGAGAAGCTAGGCATCCACACACAGCACCCTGTCACCTGAGTGGTGCAGCAGAAGTGCAAGCAGGCTGCTGTGGCGACAAATTCTTCTTGCCTTTGTAAGGTCCATGAGTGGGTTTTACCATCCTTTTGGCACAACATTAAAGACAGCACCTGCCAACCATTTGATAATACACTTGCTAGAAAAAAGAAACTATGCCATCTTTGCTGCCCTGTTCCATCGTTATCCTCCTTAGTTATGTCTCCTTTTGACCACAGCCCTTTCTTTCCCTCCTTTATACTCCACCTGATTTTGGTATCATACTGCCACACTTGTCATTCTGCCACTGGTCTCTATCTATCTCTGTCTACCTCTATCTTTACCTCTCTCTCTCTCTCTCTCTCTCTCTCTCTCTCTCTCTCTCTATATATATATATATATATATATATATATATATATATATATATAT